AAGGAAACCAGAGCTCTGCAGAGCTAAGTCCACAGCCTGATGCCAGCAATGAAGTGTGTGAGGAGGCCCACCTGCAGGATCTTGCCTACATCTGCATGATCTTGCCCGCATCTGCATTTCTCACAGAGCTCTACCATCTCACCCCGTTTCTTCTGAGGTGGAACCACTTTACAGCTCTTTCCCTTCTTCTCAGGGCCTTTTCAGATGGTTCCTCTTCTACCACAATGGAAGACAGCATTCTTATCTCCTCTCATTGACCACAGCTCTGTGTCACAGGTTTAGACAATTGATGATAATCTGAAAGGCTTTGTCTTCTAATTATTTCCTAAGCTTGACATTGTTTCTGAAACCTGACTGTGAAACTGTCTTAACGGGTTTTTTTAGTTTTTTAATTTAAGCATAACTTCTTTACAATGATGTGTCCATTTCTGCTCAACAACAACGCGAATCAGCTCTGTGCATACGTGTATTCCCTCCTTCCTGAGCGTCCCTCCCGCCCACCACCGCCCACCCTCCCGGGTCATCACCGAGCTGTGAGCTGAGCTCTCATTGCTGTTACAGCACCTTCCCACCCGCTGTCTTCCCACAGTAACGTGTTTATGTCAGTGCTGCTCTCAGCTCACCCCACGCCCTCCTTCCCCACTGCGTCCAAGGGTGAGCCTTCGAGTGCAGAATCTTGGCGTCCTTATCGCCAACAGTGTGAAGTTCTGAAAAAGCGTCAAATAAATGCTTGAGCTGAATGAAAAAGAAAGCTTTCTCTATAGTCATTAAATCACAAACATTTTGAGTTACACCTTCAGAGGCTCTCTTGTTCAGCTGCCCAACTGCCAGCCACAACAATCCTAACAGACGGACCTCAGGCTCACATGTCAATGTTTGCGATAAAGCAGAACTTACCACCTTCTGTGCCACGTACTCCATTTCTGGAGCACCTTTGCTATTGGAAAGCTATTCGAATGTCATTATCAGGACAAAATTTGCTTCCCTGTAACTTGCCTTAAATTGTTTCATTTATATTTTCTGGGATAAAATAGAATAAATGTATTTCATCTCCACACAGATTAGCCCTTCAAATACAGAAGGCAGCTATTCTATCTATTCTAGTCAATCTGTTCAGGCTAACTACCCGTAGGTTCTGAAATTTTTCTGTAAAAGGTATAGTTTTCTTTCCCAGGGACAGAGGAGCCTGGTGGACTGTCGTCCATGGGGTCACACAGGGTCGGACACAACTGAAGCGACTTAGCAGCATAGTTTCCAGGATCTTTTCCATTCCCACACTTTTTTTTGTCTTGTATGCATTCATTAAGAGAGTCATTTCTCTCTCACGCCTCATTTACTCACTTCACAAGTGTTGACTGATCCCCTGTGTGCCAGGAGTATAGCCGAGGATCGGAGGTGGAACCTGCAGTCCCAGGAGGAGAACCGAATGGACAATGACAGTGAGGAACCACGTTATGTGTGCCGGGTCACTGCGTTGCACAACGTCCGGCAGCATTCACACACAGCACAACACACATTTCACCCTTCGGAGTTGTGCAATGTGGTAGACCAGTCATTGATGGGACCAAGCCATGGATCAGGAAGGGCCTCCGTACAAGAAGAACGTTTAAACTGAGACCTGAAATGTGAGTATCAGTTAATTAGGCAAAGAGAGAAAGGAACAGTGTGCATGCTAACAGAAAGCAGGTACAAAGACGTGGACGGTAAAGCAAAAGAGGGGGAGGGAGAGGAGGCAACAGAGAGGAGTGAGTCTGGAGTCGTAAGCAGCGATCAGGCCACACTGTTTCTATGCGACCACGGTAGGGAGGTTGACTCATATCCTAAAGAAGTTAGGAGTCTATTGAAGGGTTTTAAGCAGGGAAATAACATGATTGTATTTGCATTCTGGCTGCTGTATGGAAAGCAAATTAGATGAGAATAAGATCAGACTCTGGGAGACCAATTCAAAACCTGTTACAGTTATCCAAGACAAAAAAAAAATCAGTGACTTGAACCAAGGTAATTGCAGTGAAATAAAAAGGAAATTACAGAGACATACTTGTGCAATAGTTCAGATGTAGCATCAATTAGACTTGATGTCTGGCTGGATGTGGGCAAAGGATAACAGGGGGAGATCAAGGATCTCACCAGAGACAAACAGTGATGCCGAAGACTGAGGCTGGAAACACTGGAGGAGGGCCAGGCTTTAAAAAAGGAGAAGCTGCGAAGCCCAGGTTGGGATGTATTCAGGTGAGGTACTGTATGGTATCTAGATGGAGACATCTAATTTGATTTCAGGAGACACTGGCACAGATTTTGGAGTCATTGGGATATCAACACGGAAACTGGGAGGTCAGCTCACTCATAAAAAGTATATAGTGTGAGAATCTAAGAGTCGTTTAATGGGTGGACTGAGGAATAGGTATCAGAAATGGAGACCAAGGAGAAACAGAAACATGCACATTACCTTATGTAAAATTAGACAGCCAGTGGAAATTTGCCATGTGACCCAGGGAGCTCAAATCCGATGCTACGTGACAACCTCGAGCGGCGGGATGGGGTGGCAGGTGGGAACGAGGTTCAAGAGGGAGAGGACATATGCATCCCGATGGCTGATTCACAGTGATATGTGGCAGAAACCAACACAATCAGTTTAGTTCAGTTGCTCAGTCGTGTCCAGCTCTTTGCGACCCCATGAATCTCAGTATGCCAGGCCTCCCTGTCCATCACCAACTCCCAGAGTTCACCCAAACTTCTGTCCATTGAGTCGGTGATGCCATCCAACCATCTCGTCCTCTGTCGTCCCCTTCTCCTCCTGCCCTCAATCTTTTCCCGCATCAGGGTCTTTTCTAATGAGTCTGTTCTTCCATCAGGTGGCCAGAGTATTGGAGTTTCAGCTTCAGTCCTTCCATGTCCAAAGGACATCAGTCCTTCCAATGAACACCCAGGACTGATTTCCTTTAGGATGGACTGGTTGGATCTCCTTGCAGTCCAAGGGAACTCTCAAGAGTTCAAAAGCGTGGTGTGTCAAGGCCACAGCACGTCAGATATCAGTCAAGGTCCTTCTGCCAGCTAGAAATAAGAGACAGCTGGAGCTCATCCAGAAATGGACCGTGTCAGACTTTCTCAGACACCTTGATGAAATCAACGAGGTCAAGTCTGCATCCTGGAAGTCGACATCTACCGGTCCAGTGACCATGTGAAACAAGGAGCTTGTTTAGAGCAGAAAGACCTCGAATCTACCCCGTCCACACTAGACGGCTGCCGTGTAACAGCATCTGCTCGTTTTGGTGAGTGAGCCTGAATTTCTCTGACCCACAGTCTTGCCCCGGCCTGCATATCGGAGATACTTTGTCTCCCCGGCATGGGTTTGGGGCTCCTCTAAAATCTGACTCTGCACTCACATCTGCAGACTCTTTTGGTCTCAGATGTCTCCTGGAGCCGCATCACAACACAAACGGCATCACAGCCTTACAGGTGAAACCTCGGTGAAACTGACTGAGTCCCGGTGACGGCTGCTTTCTCTCCTGCTTGCTCACACACCACCGTTTCATAACCTGGGGCTCCTCTCCCCTCGGAGGGTGGAGGCAAGCAGTGGGGACAGCGCTTCCACACAGAATCTGGGAGTGGGAGACTGAGAGAGGAAAGATGCTCACATATCAAGAAAAACACGTCACAGAGCTGAAATTTGCTCAGTAGGAGAGGGGACGAATGTAAGTCCATGTTTTCTTCGAGAAACTGCCGTTTCGGGTGAAATCTTGAATTGGAGGAGGGAGGGGAGGGAAGTTCCTGACCTGCAGCTTTCTCCGGCTGTGGAGACTGCATGAGTCGACTACTAACTGGAGGGTTGATTTTGCTGCTCTGGATTCTTTCTTTCCTTTCCTTCTCCTATTGCTTTATAACACATGATAACCTTCTCCCTCCCTTCTTATTTCCATGGGAAAATACTATGAATGAGTAAAGTCATATTAATACAAATAAATAATTCATCATTCCCAAATCACAGCATCTTTATTCCTACGTCCTGGATCAAATGGCTTTACTATCCACAATCTCTTTGCTAGATAAGGAGTCAGCACCTTCTCTCAAGCCAGAAAGGAAGACATCCAGTGATTTTTCCCCCCCAGTTTCCCAGAAGCTTCTTACGATGTGAGGATTAATTTGACAGACGTGACTAGAACAAGAGTCACCTTTGTCATTGCCTGTGGTAGTTACGGTAATACTAGCTTGCTGTGACAGGTACTCTGAGGTCTTAGTAACCTAACACGATAGAAATGTATTTGTCACTCTCGGAAAGGACGTGTGTGGAGGGGTCAGCACCAAGAGGGTTGCGGAGAGATACAGACAAGAATCCTGCTTCACACGTCATCCGTGGTGATGGAGGTTCTGTGCCAGAGTCACCCCGCAGAGACGGGGAGGACCCCAAACACACCCACATGTGATTCACACTGATAATCACACACACACACACAGCTCAAGAGGACATGGAAAGGTTTACTGCTCACATAACATGGCTCTCTGTGGGGAACAAGGCAGCCTCTCAGACTTCCTCACTGCTGGGCAACAGGCCCAGGAATGGTTTGGGAGAAAGCAGCGGCTGGGGGCTGGTGATATTTAGGTGAGGGGACTTGCTAAGGGCTCCGAGGCTCGGGCTGACCCGCACGGTTTGCACCTCCTTTGGCTAATGCCAAAGGCCGGGGCAAGTTTCCTGGAGACGGAAGAGGCGAGGGGAGGGCTAGGCTCCAAGGATGTCCCAGTCAAACATCAAAAACAAGTCAGACTCTTCATTCACTTAGCTTCAGCAACACACAGCTTTCATAGTTGCTTTGAGTGTCCACACCAAGGCCAGAAGTGAAGGTAGAAAAGAAAACGGAAGATTGATGGGAGGTTTTTAACAGGTAAAGCAGGGAATGCGGGTATTTCCTTTCTGCCCACATTGCACCAATCAGAACTCAGTCGCTGAGGAAAATACAGTCGCGAGCTGGGCAGCTGTGGAAGGGGTAGGAACCCGTGGCTCGGGGTCAGCCTTCCGTGCCATGGCAGATTGCAAGCAGCAAGCAATCTAGGCTTTGTGGGGCCCAAAGCCTGAGTAATGAGAAGCTGTCTTTAAGAAAAAATAAAGGGAACAGGTCCCAAATTAGAAAAGGGCCTGTGCCAGTCAGGGCTCTGAACTGAAGCTCCGTTGGCTTCTCTGTAAAGGTCTCACAGGATGATTGTAAGTCGGCCACCTCTTGCCCCTTTTCAGGGTCACCGAGGAAGAACCAAGAGGAAAGGGGCGGGGGTTCTGACACGGCTACAGAAACTCCTTCCTGGGGCGTGGGGGTAAACTCGGATGTTGGTGACAAGCTATAAAGTTCACGGAACTCCAGCCCAGATCCTATGAAAACAAAGGCAGATGTGCTGTAAGAACTGGCAGAAATATTGCTACACATTTTCTGTTGGTGAAACATAAAATGTTACCTCTTTGAGACCATATCCCTAAAGGAATGACTTTCCTTTGCTTTTGCTCTGTACATAGCTATTCAGTGACTTAGGGCAGGGACACTTTTTAAATAACAGGTTTATAGCGTGAAGTGTGAACAGTATTATTTGATGTTGCACGATTTTAGAAACTTTGGGAAGCAGCAATATCCCACCACAGGCCTCCAACCCTGTGATTCTCTGATTCAAGGACGTTCTTAGACTGTCCATCACCCAACCTGCTCTCTGATGTACCAGAGAGGGAAGCAGCTGGCTTTTTTTCTTTTTTGCTTCCCAGGCTAAAGAATCTGTCTGCCAATGCAGAAGATGTGAGTTCGATCCCTGGATTGGGATGATTCCCTGGAGAAGGAAATGACAACCCACTCCAGTATTCTTTCCTGGAGAATCCATGGGCCCATGGACAGAGGACCCTGGCAGGCTACAGTCCATGAGGTTGCAAAGAGTCGGACACAACTGAGCCCTAACCTAGGAGAATAAGGATGTATTCAATTCTTTTCCTTTTAATTGCCAAAACAAACTTCAAGTCTCCCATGTGTGGACACTGAGCTGGATGACCCATGAATACCAGCAGGAACAGGCTTAATCTCTTGGGACCTCTCCCGGGACCTCAGGGCATGGTGAGCGGAAGAGATGCTCTAACACAGGAGTTCCTAACCTGGCAGGAGAATGGGGAAAAGTCACATCTTATCTTTTCACTAACCTCTAGTCAAGATGTAACCTCTTGTTTTTATTAAGAGGATAGGAAACAAATACAGACCACTGTAGGGTTAACAGTGCCTATGACCTTGTTGCTGATAGAATTCACAGATATTCTGTATCCCATTATGGCTGGCTGTTTTAGATATCTCAACACTCATCACTACTTAGAAATGTCAACAATTTGTTGGCCCACAGCTAGATCTTGTTAATTAATGCATTAGTAAAGAAGCACATTTATTATGTAACATGACTGCCATTTCCACATTTTGATAGCTGTATATTAATAAAAGTGGGCTTCCCAGGTGGTGCTGGTGGTAAAGAACCTGCCTGCCAATGCAGGAGATGTAAAAGACTCAGGTTTGATCCCTGGGTTGAGAAAATCCCCTGGGGGAGGACATGGCAACCCACTCTAGTATTCTTGTGTGGAGAATCTCAGGGACAGAGGAGCCTGGCAGGCTACAGTCCATAGGGTCACAGAAGAGTCAAACACAACTCAGTGACTAAACAACAATGGGATCCCATAAGAATTGTGATGCTCCACCCTCTTATAGACAACAGCAAGGCTTTAAATGTCTGGGCTTCAGCGTGACCCAGTCCTGCTGTGGTCCAGAGCTTCTGGGGATATACTACTGTCCCACTTTTCTTTTTTCCTTGATTTTTATTTATTTCTATTCAGCTCTATTATACCATAGTGAATACGGTTTTGGAAGCTTCTATTTGGAAAAAAGTGATATAAAAATAGAACACTAAATTGTTGTTTAGTTGCTCAGTCATGTCTATTTGCGACCCCATGGACTGCAGCATGCCAGGCCTCCCTGTCCTTCACCATCTCCCGGAGTTTGATCAAACTTATGTCCACTTGAGTCAGCGATGCCATCCAACCATCTCATCCTTTGTTGTCCCCTTCTCCTGCCTTCAATCTTTCCCAGCATCAGGGTCTTTTCCAATGAGTCAGCTCTTCACATAAGGTGACCAAAGCACTGGAGCTTCAGCTCCAGCATCAGTTCTTCCAGTGAACACCCAGGACTGATCTCCCTTAGGATGGACTGGTTGGATCTCCTTGCAGTCCAAGGGACTCTCAAGAGTCTTCTCCAACAACTCAGTTCAAAAGCATCAATTCTTCAGTGTTCAGCCTTTGCTATGGTCCAACTCTCACATCCATACATGACTACTGGAAAAACCATAGCTTTGACTATACAGACCTTTATTGGCAAGGTAATGTCTCTGCTTTTTAATGTGCTGCCTAGGTTGGTCATGGCTTTTCTTCCAAGGAGCAATCGTCTTTTAACTTCATGGCTGCAGTGACCATCTGAAGTGAATTTGATGGAGAAGGAAATGGCAACCCACTCCAGTATTCTTGCCTGGAAAAGCCCATGAACAGAGGAGCCTGGCGGGCTGCAGTCCATGGGGTTACATGACTGAGCATGTGTGCATGAGGGTGGAGGGAGATGGGTTGGTAGCAATAAACTGGTAGAACTAAAAAAAAAAAAATGAAGTGATTTTGGAGCCTAAGAAAATAAAGTCTGTCACTATTTCCATTGTTTCCCCATCTATTTGCCATGAAGTGATGGGACCGGATGCCATGATCTTAGTTTTCTGAATGTTGAGCTTTAAGCCAACTTTTTCACTCTTCTTTCACTTTCATCAAGAGGCTCTTTAGTTCCTCTTCACTTTCTGCCATAAGGGTGGTGTCATCTGCATATCTGAGGTTATTGATATTTCTCCCAGCAATCTTGATTTCAGTTTCTGCTTCATCCAGCCTGGCATGTCGCATGATATAATCTGCATAGACCTTAAACAAGCAGGGTGACAATCTCCAGCCTTGACGTACTGCTTTCCCAATTTGGAACCAGTTTGTTGTTTCATGTCTGGTTCTAACGCTTGCTTCTTGACCTGCATACAGATTTCTCAAAAGGCAGGTAAGGTGGCCTGGAACTCCCATTGTTGAAGAATTGTCCACAGTTTGTTGTGATCCACACAGTCAAAGACTTTAGTGTAGTCAATGAAGCAGAAGTAGATGTTTTTCTGGAACTCTCTTGCTTTTTCTATGATTCAATGGAGGTTGGCAATTTGCTCCCTGATTCAAAATACTAAATACAAATAAATAATAGAGTGAAATGACCAAAAACTTGTCTAAATAATGTAGCTGCTGAAATCTAGACAGATGCTAGGTTATTAAAAGGAATTTTCAGGGCTCCCCTGGTGTTCAGATTGTAAAGAATCTGCCTGCAATTCAGGAGACCCGGGTTCGATCCCTGGGTCAGGAGGATCCCTTGGAGAAGGGAATGACAACCCACTCCAGTGTTCTTGCCTGGAGAATCCCATAGACAGAAGGGCCTGGCAGGCTACAGTCCATGGGGTCTCAAACAGTCAGATGCAATGAGCAACTAACACTTTCACTTTCAAAACTGGGAATTTCAAGTATTAAAAGAAAGCCGTTAAAAAATGGAATTCTCAGGACATCTTTTCAGCCTCAGCAGCATCCATCGACTCACACGGTATTTACATCAGCTTCCCGACAGGAATCAGGGACGGTGACTCCAGGACTTCACCCCACTCCGGGGCACATTTTTCCACGTGCCCCTTGTAGGCCGCACAGGTCTGTGGCTGCTTTGTGGCAGCCCCTGGCAGGCCTGCGGGGAGGTCAGGCTAAGGAGTGCCCTCGGGGGGCATGGTTACTGCGGTTGCTGCCGCAGGACCCACTGAGGGCGGAACAGGAGGAAACGGGCGAAGCGTCAGCGGGGTGGGGTACGGGGGTCTGCCAGGGAGCCGGCTGCCCTCCGGGGGATGGAGGTGCCGGCTCGGCCGGCAGGAGGGCGGGCAGGGTCGGGTGCCCGCTGCCCCTTCCGCGGGGAGGCTCCCGCGGCCGCACTTGCCGCAGTCTCTGCCACACCCTTTGGCGCTGAGTCATAGGCACCTCCTCGAAACTGTCAGGGAGGCAGGGCCTCTCTGCCTTGTGCTCGATACCAGGACTTCCCAGGTTCCCGCCAACAATCACCCAACAGGGCCAGGCGCGGGGGAGGCATCGTGAATAAAGCAGAAGCAACGCCAGCCCTCGTGGAGCTCACATTCCAGTCATTATAAATAAGTGATGCAGCTTGTATGAAGGTGATCAGATCTATGGGGGAGGGGGGTGTCTAAGTGGGGTGATTGTTTTGCATGCACATCATACTTCAATAATAACGATGTTTAAAAATAAAGTCACGGAAAGGAACCCAGCGCCCAGAGAGAGGGGTGGGGGGCGGGGAGGAAGCGGCTGTTTGAAGAAGAGCGATCAGGGTAGACGTCATTGAAAAAGTGACACAGGAACAGAGCGTAAAGGAAACACACGGCAGACATCTGAAGGAGGAGCGTTCCACCCTGGGGGCCTGGGGGAGCAGGGGGAGCCTGGGGGGCAGGGAGGGGGTGCGGCACCTTCCAGTGCTCTGGGCCATGAGTGCTGCGGTCCTCCAGGAAGAGCAACCTGAGCCTCTCTGAGCCTCAGCTGACATCACTGCCTGCTCTTGGCCTTTGGGCAGACATTCCAAGAAAGCAGCAAACCCCTGCAAGATCACGTCAGTGTCCTGAACTACAAAGCATTCTTTTCTAGGTACTCAATCAAGTTGAGCCTCCACTTACAAATCCATGAAATGGGGATGATAATACCACTATCTCACAGGGCTGTTGGAGGTCAAAATCCACAAGAGCAGAGAGAAGTCACAAAGGGGGATGGGATCTCTGAGCTGGGCTGGGTGTGTTCTTTCATTTAGGGTGTGACAGGAACTGGGCCCAGCGTTTACAGCTGTTAGCTATTTAATTCTCACAAAACAGCATGACAAAGATGCGCTTTCCATCACTGTTTCACTGATGGGAAAGAGAGGCTTCTCACAGACGCTGAAAGCTTTGAGCTGGTAAGCGGGAGAGCCGGAACGTGACCCGGGGCTGTGGGAGTCCCGGTTGTGGTCCACACCACACCGCAACCCCCCTGCCGCTCAATCCCTCAAGCCACACTGTATTTGCTGGCGTGAGCACAAAGAACCGGGTTCTGAAACCCAACCTAGACACGGCTTCTCTCACACTTCCTTTCCATCAGCCCCAGTCTCGGTGGCCTCCTCTGCTGGGATACAACCTGGTGGTTCTCACCCCCGAAGTCAGGGGCCTGATTAATTCTGTCAGATGTGGGAGGGGAGGGAAGGAGACGCGTTCTTAGAACTGGGGCTGAGGCTGGGGCTGGCGGGCTCCACTTTCAGCTCATGCTAGATACCACGGGCATGGGGGTTTTGAGAGAAACCCCGTGACTCACCCTCACCTCTCATGGGCCCTGTTTCACTCAAAGGTACACCATCTTCCCATCAGCCTCCCTCGGCCCCCAGCTCTGCCTGGCTGCTAACACCCTCCCCCCAAAACCCCCCGCCCTGCGGGCTACTCAGGCTGCCCCCTGCAAGTCACATCCTCGTGTGGGCAGGGGTCCTCTCTGCAGGGCTGGAGAGCTGCAGAGTCCTTGGGTCTGAACAGCCCCTCTGTGTCCTGCAGTAGACTTGCTCAACCAAAGCCACACAGCGTTCATCATCTTTCCCCAGGCAGAGGGCGACAGGGGCCAGCCCAGGACACGGCAGAGACAGCTGCCTCCACTACGAAAGGGCGCGGGTCAGCAGAGGGAGAGCGCGGGAGGAAACGCAGTAGGGAGGAGAAGGCAGGCAGGTTTCCAGACCCCCAGCCTCAAACTCTCCTTTTTAGTTAAGTCAACCTGCTCGCACTGATACAGTAATAAGATGACCTCCTATGATGCTTGGTAACAAGTGCTGTGTGCCAGGTGTTATGCTTGAGATTTTACATGATTTTTGTAGTTTTCACTTCTCACAACAACCGAATGAGGTCAGTGGTATTATTGTGTGAGTCTGAGTCCTCTGAGAGGCAGATGACAAAAAGGGCTTAAACATGCAAGCGGTTTACTGAGGGGAAATGCCTTTACAAGAGAAAATAGGGTGGGACCCAGGCCAGGCAGAGAGAGCCTTCAGACCCCTCCTGATGCCATCGAGGAGCGAGGGAGAAATGATTGGGCACAGGTGTCCTGGAGGTCCCACAGAGTCGCCAGGGAGCCTTCAGTCAAAGCCGCTGGAGCTCTGGCTCCCCCGGAAACCCAGGCGTCTCAGCATCCCTGCTGGGCCCAGCCACTGGCCGGGGGAGGACGGCCTCCGGGCAGAGCCAATGGGGCTTCAGGGCAAGCGGCTGGGGCCCGTGGATGGTCAGGCTGGGAAAAGAGGCCTGTGAGGCACAGTCTCACAATCAATCATTGTTATAAATATAGATATCTAGTTAATAGTTGTGGGGCGCCACAATTATTATCCCCATTGTTGGAAAATTGAGGCCCAGAGAGGTCGTTACCTGTCCATAGTTGGAATCAAATTGAGCACAACTACAGAGACTTCTGTGCAGTGGGCATCTGAGCTATTGACCACTGCGTCACATGCCAGATCTCAGACTCGGTAATCAGCAGAGGGCTGAGCATACAAACTGCATCCCAAAAAGGGTTTTCAGGGGAGATGAGGCTGAGCTCCTGAATAGTAAGGAAAAAATCCTTTCCTATCTCCTGAGTCCTCCATAATACCGGGTATCCTGAGTTAGAGCCATCTCTGCCGTCATAAGCCTTTCTTCCCCCAATCTCCCTCGTCGGAGGGACCCTCCCTCCTCGGTAACCCCACATGGGGCCCTTGCAGCGCACGCCAGTCTTTCTTGGATCAAAGTCACTGGCACACTATCATCTACATGGTGTTCCCACCAGGGGCACTTGCTTAGCCTCCAGAGTGGGTCAGGTAACCTGTCTGAACACCAGTAGAAGGTTGAACTAAGGCTGAACCTCAGAATTGTCTTTGAGCCATTCTGCCTACACATCCAAAACCTATGCAAATAATCGTAATTGAGTGAGCAGAGCTGCTGTTGCAGGACGAGGTTTTAGGAATCCCCTTGCCCCTTCCAGATTTGATTTTTCCAGTCGCCCACAATGCAAGGTGGTAAGCATCTGTTTTTTGGAGAAGTGCTTCGAACGCTCTCTTATCAGCTGACTTACTCTAGCCCCAGATTGCTCCATTGCTGACAGCTAATTCTTTCATGGACTTCTCTTTCAGAAAGCAATGTGTCAAGTGCATTCATTCATAAATTGATACTGTCTTTTTGGCAGTGCTACCAAAACATAAAATGTGAATACCCACTGATGTAACTATTCCACTTCTAGGAATCTAGCCTATAGAACCCCTTACCATGTGCATATCGATATTGTACAAGATGTTTGCATCATTAATACTAACAGGTTTTTTTTAAATTAAGTTTTTTTTTAATCCATCAATAGCAGATAAATTATGGTACATCCACATTATGGAATAATCTCAGCTGTTAAAAATAAATATGATTGTTCTGAGTTCAGTCACAGGCACCCGCTAAGAGATGCTAAATTTAAAAAGCAAGTTGCATGATTAACGGGTATGAAAAAGTTCTGAAAAAAAATAAATAAAATAAAATAAAGAAAAAGTTCTGGAGATGGGTTGCACAACAATGTGAATATACTTAACACTATTGAACTCTACACTTAAAGATGGTGGAAGCAGTAAATTTTGTTATGTGTAGTGTATTGCACCACAATTTTTTTTTTTGGCAGCACTATGCGGCTTGTGGGATCTTAGTTCCCTGACCAAGGATCAAACTCGGGCCCCGCAGCGAAAGTGCTGAATCCTCACCACTGGACCACCAGGGAATTCCCTCACCGCAATTTTTCTTAAAAGGCAAATTGCTGAACAATATGCCTAGTGATTCCATTTTCAATTGCTATAGGCTTCATATAAGTTTCTCACCTGTCTTTCTAAGCATATATATATATGTAGACAAATAGACAAATCAAAATAAAATCAAGCCGTGGAAAGTAGCTACTTCAGGACTTCCCTGGTGGTCCCGTAGTTAAGACTCGGCGCTTCTACTGTGGTTCTGTCCCTGGTTGGCAAAACTTTACACGCCAGGTGGTGCAGCCAAAAAAAAAGGTAGAAAAAATAGTTATTTCTGAAGAGGGAGTTGGCCTAGTTGGGTGAGACTATAAAGAGAAAACTTTCACATTTCACTCTGTATGTGTATGTAATTACATGTGTATATAATTTCTTTGGGCTTCCCAGGTGGTGCTAGTGATAAAGAACCCTCCTGCCAGTGCAGGAGCTGTAAGAGATGTGGGTTCAGTCTCGCTGGGTCAGGAAGTTCCCCTGGAGGAGGAAATGACAACCCACTCCAGGATTCTTGCCTGGAGAATGCCATGGACAGAGGAGCCTGGCGGGCTACAGTCCATACAGTTGCAAAGAGTTGGACACGACTAAAGCAACTTAGCACACATAATTTATTTGAATGACTGGGCTTGCTTATGTTAATTGTTCTTTAGATGCACTCATCTAGCCAGCAAGGACCACACACCTGCACTGGGTGAGCTGCCATCCTCAGAACCTGGAATAGGAGGAAGAAACTGGATTCCTCATCTTCCTCTTCCTTGCAGACTCAGAAAATGGCCTGCCCTCGTCCGGTCGGCTGTGGCTGGGTGGGTGGAGTGAGAGGTCATGTTAGAATCTCACTATGAGGACCGTTTCCGTAAAAGAGGTTTCTGATCGGAAAAAGAGACAGCTGAGTGCCAGAAAACGCTTGGCCGCTCTGGGTCTTACTACAGAAACCAGACCTCCTGCAGCACAGGCTCCAGTCACAACTAACCAAGGTCTGGTCTCAGAGTCAGATAAGACTGTGATTTCTTTGAAAAGTAAACCTCTGCCTGGCGAATTCAGAACCACAGGCCTCCAAATCAGAGGCTAAGGGCTGGGAGAACTCAGCTCTTTCTAAACCTTACGGCCTCGCGGCCTCAGGAGGCTCTAACTATTTGAGGAACAAGAGACTAGCAGCTGCCGAAACTGAGGAAGGACCAGGGTCACGTTTCACATAGTCCCAGACACCAGGGGCCTGAGCCAGCAACTTGGCCCGCGCTTGGGCCAGAGCCACCCAGTCTGACGGCTCATTTGCATGGCCTTCGCAGTACTTTGCATCTCAGGGCCCGGGAACACTCCTCCCCTAGGATCAGAGAGGTCAAGACACACAGGACCCGGGGGACAGAAACTAAACTGGGGGGCGGGGGGGGGGGGGCGGACTCACGAAGGAAGGGGGAAAGCCAGTCCCAGTATTTCACTTGCAAATCCTGGCAGGGGTGCTGGATAGGGTAGGAAACTTCACTGTCCCTTAGAGCAAGAAAGTTATGCAAATGAATGCATTTGCATGGCAGCCTGCCCCCTAAAAATGACTTATCACATGCAGGTTCCCTGTTCTCAGGAGCAGTCACTCCCCCCAGAGTCCCACCTGAGATCCTGCAGGAAGAACAGACAAGACTTCCTGATTACCGGCTCTGACTTCCCTTCAGAGCCATCATTATTTCCTCCAAGGGGTGGAGAGACATAAGGTAGACCCAGGCTTGAGATGCTGGTGTGTGCAAAATAAGAAGTATGGAAGCTTAGGTACAGTAAACTGTGTATTTGTTACAAGCAAGCTCCTAAGGCCTTCAGGTTTAACATATCTGAAGCCCATGGTGTAGGGACCATGGTAAACAGGGATCGGAAAGACCTGCAAAGAACTCTAGATTTTCAGGGACACTCAGAGAGGCTTCCCAGGTGGCACTCGTGGGTAAAGACCCACCTGCCAGTGGGTCATAAGTGGGAAGACATAAGAGACATGGGTTCGATCCCTGGGTCAGAAAGATCCCCTGGAGAAGGAAATGGCTACCCACTCCAGTATTCTTGCCTGGAGAATCCCATGGACAGAGGAGCCTGGTGGGCTACAACCCATGGGGTCACACAGAGCCGGACGCAACTGAAGTGACTTCGCATGCAGCAGAGGGGAAAGAGCAGCGAAGCCCTTGAAAACCATTCACCCCAATTCTCCAGGGCCCCCCAATCTCCTGTAACATTACCCTTTTCCATAATGATGTGTAGAATGCACAACTAAAAATGATCTAAGTTTAAGGTATAACCATGGAAGGATTATTGAAAAATTAAGGAACTTAAGAACAGGTGAGGTGGACCTCCCTAGCTGTCCAAGCTTTCACTGTGGGGCGGGGGGCACAAGCTCAATCCCTGGGAACTAAGATCCCGCACGAGGCACAGTGCAGCCGAACAAGAAAAGATAAGGGCCTGGGTGGGGGGTGAAGAGGGGGAAGGGCGTGGGGCAAGGTGGGGGATTAAGAGACACCAACTACTAAGCATAAAATAAGTCAGCGACATACTGTGCTGATAGAATAGAGCCAGAATTACTGTCGGAACAGAGCCGACATTACATAACTTACATGGAGCATAACATTTAACAAACACTGCACATCACTGTACTGTACGCCTGAAACATGGTACTGTAAACCACCTACATCACAATTGCTTAAAAAGTATGTGGGGGAAATCCCTGTCAGGCTATGTTTCCAAATTTGAGTTTGGGGGAGACAAATATGGTGAAGGAGGGGAATCCAAGTTGAAGGGGCTGAAACAAGAAAGCAGACAGAACACACGGAGGACGCCCCACTGTCGGGGCTAAGTCAGGTCTTCTGGGGCCACAGGTCCAGCTGAAGTGATGAGCAGACCAAAAGCCAGAGGGGTGAGCCCAGACTCAGGGAGAGGAAAAGCAGACTCTGACGATCAGAAACCAGAGCCAAAACCCGACGGGAACACCTCCACCGCGCCAGTCAAACCCGCCAGCTCCAGTGCTCCCGAGTCTGCAGGCGAGGCGCTCCCCCCTCCACCATGGCCAGGGCGCTGACCCTCCCTGTCCGGCGCATGTTCACCCTCCCCTCCTCCAGGCCGAGCCAGGCTGGACGCCACCCCCCCCCCAAGTCAGCTGTGTCTCCCCAGGGCCCCAAGCACTGGGAGAGCCACAGGGCAGGGGACGAGCTGCATCAGCACGTGGCCTTGCTGCCCCTGGAGGGAGTCTCCTCAGAGACTGGCTCCGAGCCTCTGAAGGGCGGCCCGGCCGGGGAGGGGCCGCCCCGGCCGGGGAGGGGCCGCCCCTGCAGCTGGTCAGCACTCCCCCACTCTTGAAGTCCGGGCTTGGCCACACTGCACGCTCACGTGTCTAGGTCGGGGAGGACCAACACTGTTCCCCCCGCAGCGAGGCACACAGGGAGAACTTCCCCCAACAGAGGCTGAGGGTCCAGGCTCTTCCTTCTGACCTCACCCATCCCGCCAGCCTCAAAACCCCAGGGGCCCGCAGAGATCACTTGGGCTTGGGCTGCACCCCCTCACTGGGGCAGTCTTGACTGAACCGATCCAGACCACAAAGTTTGTGTGTCCAGGACTCCAGACGCAGAGAAAGGAAAGACAAGGTCTCTGAGGGTCGCATGCAGATTTTGTATCTTAAGGACTAGCAATCGGGCAGACACTGGGTCTTACACTTGGTTTTTGCACTAAAGCATCATGCAGGCAGGAAACGCCTGGGCATTCATTCGGTGGCTTAGCATGAAGACAAAGTCACTGAGAAGGCCCCGCCGGAGCCTGGGGCCCCTTCCAAAGAAAGACTACTCCCCAACACGGCCAGGCTCCCTCTGGGGGGCGGGGGGCGGGGGTTGGGCACTGCACGTGGGCTTCCAAAGACAGAGCCTGGGGGGGCTGTGCCCACAGGGCTGAGGGCACAGAGAGCCGTGTGTGTGCACGCTCAGTCGTGTCCAGCTCTTGGCAACCCTATGGGCTGCAGTCTGCCGGGGTCCTCGGTCCATGGGATTCTCCAGGCGAGAATACTGGAGTGGGTGGCCGTTTCTTCCTCCAAGGTATCTTCTTGCCCCAGGGATCGAACCTGTGTCTCCAGCATTACAGGCAGACTCTTGACCTCTGAGTCACTAGGGAAGTCTAGGGTTACAGAAGCCGTCCACCTAGGCCGCCTCCCGCTGCCTGGAGAAGGCCCAGCCGGTTTGCGGACATTCAGCTGGCGGGGGAGACAGCCACTTTCCCCGGCCTCACCAGCTCCACCCTCGTCCCTTGAATAGCTGTTTCCTCCACACCCTGAGCAGCCCGGGACCTGCTCGGCCCACCAGCTCTACCCACCCGTCGCTCACAGACCTCCGCGTTTCCTGTCTCCAACCCCTCAGAGGAAAACCCCACATTTTCTGTTATTGTTTACCAACCCAGCGGCCTCAAGCCGAGCAGGAATGTGGTCTCAGCCTAGACCACAGTCTCCGCTTCAAACCTGGGCTTTCCCAAGCCCTTCCGGCAGGGCAGCCCACCAGAGGGCGGGACACAGACGTGAGGAGAGCCGCCGGCCGGATGAGACGTCCAAGTCCACCGTCTCACGGCACTCAGTGCCCCCAAGGCCGAGGAGAGCCACCGCCATTCCCCAGAAACAGAAACGTGCCCGGGGGAGAGGAGGCCCGCCGTCTCCCTGCCTGACCCCTCTCCCCTTATTTTGGTGGGGTTTTGTTTTTTTTAAGCTCTAAACTTGGAAGCAGGAGATCCAAATCAGATCGACCTCTGCTTAGTCATGAGGCCTTGGGAGAGTCATTTCACTCCTCTGAGGCTGAGTTTTCTTCTTCATTTTACTCCTCTGAGGTCAGCTGGAGGCTAGACCAACTCCCCTGGAGGCCTTTTATGATGGTGAAGAGAGCCAGGGGATCGCCCAGCGCAGCACCAGGGCCTCCTAGGTGCCCAAGAGTGCCCACAGGCCTTCTCCACCTCTCACACCACTTGAGGGTGTTCGACGATAATATCCTATGTTGCTTCCTCCAACTCTGCCAGCCAGCATCTGCCTTTAGGTACAAAAGTTTCCCCACCACCCCACCTGGGAGTTTAGCAGAAGGAGGTAACGTGCTTCCCAGAGGCAGAGAATTGCAGGGTGATGCCAGCGTGGACCGTCAGGGGCTTGGAGAGGGTAGAGAGGTGTGGTAAGGCCATTCTCATCAAGCCAGGCCCCTCCTGCCCTTCACCCAGCCACCCTCCCCGCATGTCAGGTCCAGTCTGTGAACCCGGCTGACCCGGGCGGAGGAGAAAGCAGAACGTGGGGCTAACGTGGGGCAGGTGGATGAGGTGACATGACACGGGCCTCGGGGACGGGGCAGCAGCCCCACGACGCTCACAGCCAACCCCAGGGCCTGGGAACACACCGCCTCACGGCAAAGGGGCTCTGCCGGTGGGACTGAGGCAAAGGGCCGCTGCAGTGTCTGCGGAGGCCTCCTCTGACTACACAGGTCCTTCAAAGCAGAAGCTCCTTCCTGGCGAGGTCAGAGCGATGGGACGTGGCTGGCTTTGAAGACGGAGGGAGAGGGCCTCAAGCCAAGAATGGAACCGTCTCTGGAAGCTGCAAAGGCTTCATAGAGAAATGCAGCCCAGCCAGCCCCATGTCGATCTCAGACCGGGGGACCATCAGACTCCTGACCTCGGAAGTCTAACAATTAAACATGTGGTATTAGAGCGGCAGCAAGAAACTAGCATGGCCTCCAAAGAGAGCAGCGCAGTGGGAAGCGTCCCCCTGCACCCCAACTCCCGCCCCATCACCCCTTAGTCTCTCTTTCCCTGGGTTCTTATCACCGCTGATACCTACTTTAAGTGCAGACAACATGATTGGAGTTCTCTGACAGGAAAACTTCCTGCTGGCTCATTTGAGCAGTGGTTCTAGACATGGGCTGAGTTTCAAGGCAGGAGCCAACCACACTCAGGATTTCTGAGAGGTAGTTTGCGGGGGCCTTATCTCTGCCACGAGGCTGGGCAGGGGAGATGGGACCCCAGTGATGACTGGGGGGTGAGCAGGCCTCTCCTCCAGGCAGGAGGAGGTCTTGGGACAAGAACACCCCAGGCCTTGGATCCTGAGTTCCAGTCCAAACCCACTAGCAGGGGGACCCCCAGCGCATCCCTTCACTGCCTTTGCTTTTCTCACTCATAAAATAGGGATAGCCGTCCTGCCCTGCCCCTTTCCCTGACAGCTCTGAGATCACGTGAGAAAATGCAGGGAAACTCGGCAACAGCTCCTTTTCCACCTGACTGGGCGGGAGAGCAGTGAGGTCAGTAAGTCAATTTCTTCCTTAGGCGCTACCATGAGTCAATTCCCCGTGCGATCTCAAATACCCCGGGCCTCGGCCTTCGCATCTGCGGACTGAATGGTCACGGGAGCGCTGAGGCCTCTTCCAGCCGAGGGTTTGTTTTCTGCCTTCCGCCTGGCCCCCGGCACCCCCTACTGGAGCTTTCAGGAACTACGTCCACCTGCTCCTCCACACTCCCTGAGGATGCGGACCAATTCACCACCACCACCTTGTTTCTTCACAGTCCCCGAGCCAGCCCTGACCCCGACCCCCGGATGACGGTGTCAGTGTCTGGGGTGGCTAAACAGGTCTAAGACCGCTGGAAGCGGCTGGGCTCCTGACTCAGTAACTGGCAAAGCGTGCGGGTTCATGCCCGCAGGGCCCATGCCCAGGCCAGAGACGTCCCCAAGGCCCCCGACAGGGCGGGCGCTGGCTCCCTCGGGCCGCAGGCTCGCCTCTCCGCCACAGGATACCCCGACTCTGCCCTCCCCACACACGGAGCCCCTCAGCACATGTAGGAAGACGAGAGGTGGGGGGCGTCAAAGGGCCGAACCTCAGGAAGGAAGAGAGAAAGCCTTTCAACTATTAAATCTGTTTAGTAAAGACAATTTTGCTCATACAAAACGACAAGAGTTTACAACAGTCTGAGAGCTGGGCGCCGTCAGAGGCGGGGAGGTGCTGCGGGCATCGGCGCCCTGCCCTCGCACCCCGAGAAGGCCCCGGGCACCCCAGCCACGCCCGAGGGAGATGAGAGCTGGGGCATCACTGCCCCCTGCCCCGGGGCCCTCCCCACAGCGCTCCGGTTAACACGGGGCCTCCCCACCCCACACTGGCCTGGACACGTCGCTGAGTTGTTTGGGGCGGGGGGGCGGGGGAAAGGCTGCTGGGAGAGGGGCAGAGTCGGGACATCTTTGGTGCGAAGCCTCCCCCACCCGCCTGCTGGGCCGCGCCACGAACACTTGCAGAGGCCACTGGGGGGCGCCCTCACCCCCAAGGGGCTGCGGACCGACGCCCCGGAGCCCGGGAGGCACTCGAAACGCAAGCTCACCAACGTGGGCTGAGGGCGGGCCTGCTGCAAAACGGCTGCAGACGTGAGAGCGCACACCAGCAGGTTCAGGACGGCAGGAAGGGGGCGCAGAGGGGTAGCTAGGCGCCTCGGCGGAAGCCTAGGACCGGCACGAACGGGCGGAGGGTTCCGAGCAGGGCTCCCGTCTTCCTGGCGCTGCGCCAGTGGTTGGCGCGCCCTCGCCTGCGCCCGGAGCGGCCGGGGCGGCCTGGCGCAGGGCCCGGACAGGCTCCCAGGCACTTGGGCAGGCCCAACGCGGGCAGGGTGGGCCCGGGGGCGGGGGGGGGGGGGACGGTTCCGAGCACATCAGGGGCCCCTCGCGCACAGGCACTGATCCGGGCGCGCACACGCACACACACACTCACTCCTATCCGCCTGGCACACCGGGAACATCCGAGGGCTCAGTAGAGCCTCCGGGGCCCGGCCCCCACGGTCTGCAGCTCCTGGCAAGCCTCAGCCAGTGGGGACCTGGGGCCGTAGTGGGGAAGTCAGGGTACCAGCGGGGCCACGCAGGGACGCCCCTCGGGAGGGTTCCACGGACACCCTGGACACACCCCAAACCCTTGCAGTCTCCAGACAGGACGGGGATTAGGGGACACGGGCGGGAGTAAGGGCAAGAACGATAAAAGAAGGTTCGTAAAAATTCTAAGTCAAATTACTGATAAAATTGCCAAATGAGCACAGGGTCGAGAGCATGGTGCTCCCTCTCCCCAGGGCCGCAGCCTCCCGGGCGCCCCCTCAGGCAGGTGGCCAGAACCGAAGGCAGAACACTGCCTCTGAAGAGGTCCCGGCCCGACGCGGCAGAGGAGGAGGGGAAGCGGGAGGAGGCGGCTCTGGGTCTCTCTGTTTAAAAAATCCATCCCGGTCGAGAGTTATTGCTTGTCCTCCAGTGGAGCGGCAGGCCTGGCTCAGTGCGCGAGGGCCGCGGCCTCCAGGGCCCGCGCTTTCTTCCGCCTCTTCATAAGCAGAGGGTTGGACGCATCTTCAATCTTTTTTATCTTGATCTGCTCGTAGTCGACCCGCATCGTGGCCAAGGCACTGGTCATCTCCTCCTGGGGGTGGCGACCGGGAGAGACGTCAGAGACCACAGACAGCGCGGGGCGGGAATGGGGTGACGTACGGGAGCGGAGACTGAGGGCAAGTCGGCCGTGAGCTCAGAGCCGGCTCAGCAGAGCCCCTCTAGAGCCCAGAGCCCCCCAGCAAGCCTGGGGAAGCAAAAGAGCACCAACTAGGAGCCGGGAGACCTGGACTCACATCTGCTCCAGCCAGTCATTAGCTGGGCAACCGTGAACAGGGCACCCCCCCCACCCCAGGCCTCAGTTTCTCATCTGCAAAGTGAGGAGACTTTGCAGACGGCCTTTCAGATCCTTTCAGAGGCAGAGTGTAACAACTGACAGGGAACAGCCACAGCCAATTTCAGACTGACGCAGAAGCCTCTGCCCACAGCCTGATCGGGGAAGCGGCTCAGAGTAGCCGTCCCTGTGGTACCAGACGACCTGGGGTGAGAGGATGCAGGGCCAGCCGCCTCCATGAGCACCACCGAGCCCACCCCACCCCCCGCCCCCGCCGGCCAGGCGTCCCCTCACCTTGACGTCCTCCCACCTCTCCTTGTCCTCCTTCAGGACCCGGCTGGTGTGCAGTGGGGTTTGAGGGACCTTCGTCGATTGCTGGGGGCAGAGAAAAGGGTCCGAGTGAAGACCTGGGGCAGGGTGGGGTCCGCAGGGACTGGCCCCATGGACCCAGGTGCCTCCAGCCCGCCGGGCTCACCATGATCCAGGGGTGGTTCATGAACTCGGTGATGGTCATCCTCTGGGTGGGCTCGGTCTTCAGCAGGTTCCGGATGAGCATCTTCACTGCGAGAGGAAAACGGGGTGCTCACAGGGGACAGAGACAGCTCAGGGGCCACCCTCCCCTCCTGCTCCTTCCCGTTTTCAGGGAGAAGCCAGACTCAAAGGGGGCGTGGACACAGACCACCCAAGATACTGGCCCCGAGACCATGACAGACAGTGCCACCAAGCCCTGGCCCTGCTGGGCCCTTCACATAGGCAGGTGTGGGCTGGGTGAAGACCCACAGCCACGTCACTGATTGGAAATCATCCCCACACACACATACAGAGGCAGGACATATCCAGCAGGTGCGGGCTTGGTGAAGACCCACAGCCACATCACTGATGGGAGATCATCTCTACACACATACACACACACACACACACACACGCTGGGTGAAGACCCACAGCCACGTCACTGAAGGGAGATCATCCCTACACACACACAGACACGCAGACACACACACACACAGGCAGGACATACCCAGCAGGTGCGGGCTCGGTGAAGACCCACAGCCACGTCCCTGATGGGAGATCACACAGACACACACACACACACACACGGGCTCTTTACCTTCCTCTGATTTACCTTCCTCTGATACTTCTGACCATTCTGGGCACGTCCCTGATGGGAGATCACACAGACAAACAGACACACACACACACACACTTCCTCTGATACTTCTGACCATTCTGGGAACGTCCCTGATGGGAGATCACACACACACACACACACACACACACACACACATACGGGCTCTTTACCTTCCTCTGATACTTCTGACCATTCTGGGTTGGGGAATTCATACTGGCCCATTCGGATGCGACTCTTCATGCCCGGAGAGATGGCAAGGCCGTGGTTGGAATAGAAGGGGGGGTACCCACATAGCCTGAGCCGAGAAGAAGTGGGAAGGGAAGAACAGAGCTGATGTTATTTAGGATCCTGCACCAGGATTTCTTGCGATGTTCACAGAGAAACCGGGACTCCCTGATTCAGGTACAAAGTCAGGGACAGGGCCTAGGAATCCAACATACTGAGTATCTAAACCACACATTTTCCTGCCCCTTAGCTAATCTGTAGCACTGAGCTGTCAGAGTTCACTCAACACTGAGAGGGGACACGCAGGACCTCCAGGGCACCCCCCATCCAGAAGGGGATGCTAACCGCGGCCTCCCCTCTCACCGCAGAGGTAGAGGCTTCCGACCGCGCCTGCCCGGCCCGCGCCCGCAGGCCCCTCCCCACACTCACAGGATGTACATGATGACGCCCAAGGACCACATGTCACAGGACTTGTCGTACTTCTCTGGGCCCAGCACCTCTGGAGCTGTAGACAAAGACGGAGGCAGTGGGCCTGGTCCTCAGAATGCCAGGGTCCACCCAGGCCCTCTGTGGGTGGTGCCCCACCCGGCCCTTCAGCCCCTCACAATGGGACCGCAGCTAGGCCCAGAACGGGGACAGCAGTAGCCCAGGCCCAGGGTTGGGTAAAGGAGACCCAAAGACGCTCCTCCTGGGGGAGCCCAAGGGCCAGAATATCAAGATAAAGCAAGTCTTGAACTGCAAGTCTTTCAGACTGCCTTTTGGTTTGACAAACACATTTTGAGAGTTTCTTCTGTGCAGTCGGCTGGGGGTCCTGGACCAGAGGCACATCCCAGATCTCCCTGGGGGTCTGATGGGAACAAGAGCTCTTCTCAGTCAAAGTGCACACGTGCACAAAATTCCACCCGTAACCTCATGCACATAACTTCCTATACCACTTCAGGCCCAGCTGAGATCTGCTAAGCCTACTTCAGGTCAGGTCACCTCAGAACCGGGCTACAAAGGGCCGGGAGACACAACTCTCCTGGGCCCTGGGGCCCTGAGACCGGCAAGAGGAGGCTCTGGGAGAAGCTCCAGGCAAAGACAGGCTCTCCCAGGGCTCCGGAGGGTTTCTAAGGACTTACCCACGTAGTATGGTGTGTAACAAGGAGTGGTCAGAGAGTTGTGACTGGTGGTTTCCTTGGCAAAGCCAAAATCAGTGAGCTTGAGGATGGCGTTGGGCCTTTTGGAGGTGTATAAGAGGTTCTCAGGCTAGAGAGAGACAAGGAGTATCCCTGCTGAACTGGCGAGCGGCCGTCAGAAACCCGCAGGGGAACCACTCCTCCCTTCCTTCCCGCCCTCCCTCAGCAACCGTCTGTCCAGCCCCTCCTGTCCCATCAGCACACCATCGGGACCCCCAGACCCCGCCTCCTGAGGGCTCACAGTGGGCATGGGAGTGAGACACTGACTCAGAGACAGGGTGAGCACCACAGGGACACAGGCCGAGGAGGGGCTGTGGGAGTGACTGAGGAGCACGGCCTCAGAAGGCTTCCCGGCCGAGGGGGGGGTTTGCCCAGAGAGGGCTCTCTGCCCACCCTCCCCCAGGAGCCAGGCCACAGGAACGCAGGATGGCCCTGGGGACCCTGGCCCCCACGGCCTCCAGGCCCACTGGGTTGGGGGCTGGGGGCCGCAGTATAAATAGCTGGTACCTTGACATCCCGATGGGCAATGTTGATCGAGTGCAAATACTGGATGGCCTCGCCGATGCTCTTCATGATCTCTGAGGCCTCTGCAGAGGAGACGGGAGCAGGGAGACAGAGCCAAGTCACAAGATGTGTCCTTAGGTTTGAAAAGCCAACAGCAGAGCCGCCCGTGGAAGCTTCAGGCCCCCGACGCCCACCCCCCCGGCCCCAGACGGCGAGCAGCAGGAGAGGGCAGAGCCCAGCATCAGGCGGGGAGGCGGGCCTGGGCACCTCCCCAGAGCAGGTCCCCGGAGCCCTGCTGCCCCGCCGCCCGGCTGGGCCCGCGGCAGACCCTTTCTACCTCGCTCCGTGAAGGCCTGGTCTCCTCGGTCCTGGATTCGACTGAACAGTTCTCCGCCGTCCAAACTGGAACAAGGCCACAGTGAGACGGGGGCCGAGACATCGCACTAGCGCGCTCGCCACCGCCCCCCAAGAGGAACGAGGCGCCTGCGTTTTGAGTTTCAGCGCCCCCACCCGGCGGTCCTCAGGAGGAAAGGGGCGCAGGCAGGGAGCAGGGTCAGGCTGGGCAGGGAACCAGAGGGGAAGGCTGCTCACCACTCCATGACGATCAGCAGGCACTTCCGCCCCGCGTACAAGTTCTCGTAGACGTCCACGATGCGCACGATGTGCGGGCACTGCGAGGCGCGCCAGTGCAGCTCCACCTCGCGGCGGGCCTTGGGGCAGTCCTGCAGCATCTGCAAGCCAGACCTCCTGAGGGAGCGCGGGGGCATCCCCGCCTGGACGCCCCCTGGCCCGCCCGTGTGCCCGCCAGCCCCCACCGGCAGCTATCCACCCCCAACCCCGGCCCATCCTGTCCCCCCCCTCCCCCTGCCCCAGCCCTTCTGCCCCCACCAACCCCGCCCCAGCCCAGCACCAGCCCTCTTGTCACGGCCCCGCATCCCCTCCCAAGCCTGACTTGGGGCTCTGCAGCTCTCTTATCTGCTCTAAAAGAAACGACAGGATGACCCCTTGTGAGGTCTCCACAGCCGACCAGAGACCACCCTTGACCATGCAGGGAAAGACGACTGGGCCTCTCCCCAGCTGAGGGCGTGAAGCCTACTCCAAAAGGTGGGCAGGGCTGAGCACTGGGAGGCAGAGGGTACAGGACACCTGGGTAGGAAGACAGACTGAGGAAAATCCAGACAACCATGGAAAGGGGCCTGGAGAGGGAAGCCTCCAGATCTGTTAGGGAAGGAAGCTCTAAGATCCCTAAAGCCAGCACACCAAATCCACAGCCATATATCCTCTCAACAGCAGACAGCCTAGGGAGCCAGCCGGTGTGATCTAACTCCTGGTTCTTAACAGATCCCCAATCTGGAGCAAGTCACTTACGTGAGCCCCATTCCTGTCCCCTCTTCTTTCGGGGACCAGGTGGCCAAGGTATTAAAGGAGCCCGGCTCCCTGACCTGCCTCAAAGGCCGAGACTTGACTAGTCTAAGCCGGTCTCATTAATCCCAAGGCCTTCAGTAAGACCTGACACTGGTCAGGTGGCACTGCAGGAGACCGGCGCTCAGAGGGCACCACGTCCCCGCACGTGGCTCCCGGCGCCAGGGCAGCCGCCCAAGGGCCCCTCGAGGTGGGGGTGATACAGCGGAGCACTACGGCCCCTGCTGGGAAGCGCACGAGTCTGAGTGAGGATCAGATGGCCAGGAAGGAGCCAGATTACACAGGAAAGGAAGAGAAAACCAGGTACTTCCAACAGTAAGACTAACACTCAGTTATGCTGTGGTCTATGACATACTGCGCTCTGCCTAACTGTGCAACAGCTGCCCTTTTACAGGCTCAGAGAAGCCTGTGTCCCAGGCTCATGTCCTGGGGAAAGCCAGGGTTGGAATCCAGGCCACGTGGATTCCGAAGCCTAAACCTTTTCCACAATACCATGCAACTTTTAGAGGAGGGGTGGGAGCCAAGACTTGTTAGTCTCAGATCACCAAATGCAAACTGGTTTCACAGACCCAACCCCCGACAGGTGCCCAGATAACTCGCTCTCCTAAGCAGTCACCGTGGGGTCACAGTGCCACCTGGTGGCAGTCTAGGCACACCACAGATCCTGAGTTTTGCTCCCTTCAACTTCATTCATTCAAAAAGGTTATTTTACCCTCCCACACACTATGAAAAGCAGGAAGAGACGCTGGCCAATCTCATTTGCAAGTATTTCAATTCAACAACCATTTTTAGAGCTCCTACTATGGACCACACATTGTGCTAGATGTCAAAACCAAAAAGAAGAGTCCCAGTCTGAAAGAGACGGTTGGATGGCATCACTGGACATGAGTTTGACCAACTTCCGGGAGATGGTGAACGACAGGGAAGCCTGATGGGCTGCAGTCCACAGGGTTGCAAAGAGTCAGACACAACTGACCGACTGAACAATACCTGAAAGAACTCAAACTGGGGGAGGGGGCCTGCAGGGAGGTCGCCACGTAGAAAATGCTGATAACCCAGTGAGATAACCTGCCAGGAGACTGCTAGGTTCAAAGAGTTCAAGAGAAAAGTTCTCAGAACAGCCTAAAAAGAAAGAGCTCTATCGCCCTCTACAGGCACACAGTGCTGAAGCCCAAGCTGTCACATTCAGTCAGAGGCAACAGGAGGTCAAGGATCTGCAGACAGGAGAGACTCGGGCCTGGGTCAGAAATCTGTCAATTTCCGGTTGCACAGCCTTGGAGAGACCGTCACCTTTTGAGCCTACTCCACATCTACAAGTCAGGGGCTAGAATATCTGCCTCCCTCCTTCACAGAGCCACTGCAAGCTTCTAATGACCTCTGAGCACGCTCTGTTATCAGAAAGGCGCTCACCTCTGCAGACCATCAGCATAACCGCCACAGCACAGGGGCCCTCTCCGTCACCTCCAAGTGAGGCTGGAACACCCCGATATAACCGACAAACCCGGATGTTACAAGTCACCAGCAAGACCGTGGGCTGGGTTTGTGTCTGCAGCCCCGTGACCAGCGCCTAGAAACCAGCTCTGCTCAAACTCCACAGCTGTGCTAAGTGAGCACACTGCTGCTGCTGCTGCTGCTGCTAAGTCACTTCAGTCATGTCCAACTCTGTGCGACCCCATGGACGGCAGCCCACCAGGCTCCTCCATCCACTTTCTAGGCAAGAACACTGGAGTGGGTTGCCATTTCCTTCTCCAAGTGAGCACCCACCGAGGCCCAAACCCACATGCACACCCCTCAGCCCCTCCTGAACTCAAAGCACACACCGCAGGTTCTGCCTGCTCTCTACCTTAGCACACCTGCGTGTGCGGCCAGGAAGCCTGGGTTCACATTCCGCCTTCAGATGTGCACACAATTCATCCCTTATCTGGCAGAGGACCTGGACTGACGCAGGACAACAAACCTGGCTCTGCGAATCATACAATTTGCATCCCAGTTCTGCACTTCTCAGCTGGTCAAAACAAGAGAACTGGACAGAGCAGTGCTTTCAAATTCTAAGAGAAACAGCATAAGAATCCCCCATGAACACCAGTAACTGACAGCCAGGGATGTATTAGACATCCTTGAATGGATATAAATATCAGCCCACAGTGAAAGCAAGACCTGCGACCTGGTCAGGCTTCCAGGCTGGCCGATGTCACGGGGCAGAGCCGTGAAGAGCCAAAGAGGCCGTGTGGACAGCTGTGGGTACAAGGCCGCGGAGAGGCAGGCAGGAATGTGCTAATCTGGAGGACTGGGCTAAGTAAAGACCCACAGGGGAGGTGCTGAGCTCTCGCCCCAGGAGCGTCGGAGAGAGAAAACAGGATTCTGGCGCACCGCCAGGGGCCACCACCAGAGGAACGCAACAGGCTCGACCAGGAGCCAAGACAGTCACACGGGAAGGCTTCCACCTTCGGCCTGGACAAGGACAGGAGAGGCCAAGGGCCCAGGACCGCAGCCCCGAGGGCCCAGAGCTGAGGGAAGGAAGGGTCTTCCCACCAAAAAGCAGAGGCCCGAGACAAGGAATGCCTGAGGGGATTCTGAAGTATTTTAAGCCCCTGCCAAGCCTGCAGTGGATACTGTGACTTGCTTCAGCTCCCTAGAGCTTGGCTCTGAAATCCCCTTCCCCGGTGGAGAAGGTTAACTGTCACATGCGCTAAACTGCAATGCAACAGGCAAGGCCACCTGCCTATAGGTGAGCCAGGGGCCAGCCCAGCACCCGCTGCCTGGGGGGAGCCTCTCCCGAATGCCGGCCCATTACCACACAACCCAGCGATCCCTTGTTTGGGTGTCTGTCCAGGAAAACCACAGTTCAAAAAGACACATGCATCCCAGTGTTCAGAGCAGCACTACTTACAACAGCCAAGACAGGGAAGATGTGGTACATAAATACAATGGAATATTACTCAGCCATGAAAAGAATGAAATAATGCCATTTGTAGCAACATGGATGGACAGAGAGATTATCACACTAAGTGAAGCAAAGACAAATATCATATGATATCATTTATATGTAGAATCTAAAAAAAAATGATACAAATGAACTTATTTACAAAAGAGAAAAAGACTCACAGACAGAAAACAAATTTATGATTACCAATGGGAAAAGGGGAAGGGGAGGGATAAATTAGGAATTTGGGATCAGCAGATATACACTGTTTTATATAAAGTAGATAATCAACAAGAACCCCCTGCATAGCACAGGGAACTCTACTCAATATTCTGGGATAAACAACGTGAGAGAAGAATCCACGAAGGAGTGAATACGCACACACCCAGGGCTGAGTCCCTCTGCTGTGCACCTGACACTACCACCACACTGTAAACCAACTATGCTCCAACTCAAAAAGCTTGAGTCCAAAACAAAACTGTTCCGTGCCTCTATCTTTGCTGGACTCTGGAGGCAAAAAGGACAGTCTGCCTTACATCCCCCACCAAATAAATCTTCCACCCTGGGACCGCATGACAGTGCAGGGTGGTCAGCATCCTAAGCCTGAATGAGCCAGAGAAGCAGAAAGAAGCAGAGGCCGGGGCCTGAGCGCGGCTCACCAGCGAGGCCGAGCAGAGGAAGACAGCAAGAATGAGCCCGGGTGCCTGCAGACACTCCCGCACAGGCTCCACCAGCCACCAAGCGCGCAAACTGTGCCTCAGGTTCCTTATCTACTAGCTCAGTTCAGTCGCTCAGTCGTGTCCGACTCTTTTCGACCCCATGAGCTGCAGCAGGCCAGGCCTCCCTGTCCATCACCAACTCCTGGAGCCTACCCAAACTCATGTCCATTAAATCAGTGATGCCATCCAACCATTTCATCCTCTGTCGTCCCCTTCTCCTTCTGCCCTCAATCTTTCCCAGCATCAGGGTCTTTTCCAATGAGTCCAGCTCTTCACATCAGCTGGCCAAAGTATTGGAGTTTCAGCTTCAGCATTAGTCCTTCCAATGAACACCGAGGACAGATCTCCTTTAGGATGGACTGGTTGGATTCTCCTTGCAGTCCAAGGGACTCTCAAGAGTCTTCTCCAACACCACAGTTCAAAAGCATCAATTCTCTGGCGCTTAGCTTTCTTCACAGTCCAACTCTCACATCCATACATGACCACTGGAAAAACAATAGCCTTGACTAGACGGACCTTTGTCAGCAAAGTAATGTCTCTGCTTTTTAACATGCTGTCCAGGCTTATCTACTAAATAGGATAATAACAGTACCCACCTATACTAAGTAAATTAACAGGTGTACATTACGTGAATTACTGTACCAAGATTGGTGCTTGGCAGAGTAAG